CACCCCTATTGTAACATGAACTACCCTAAACCAATTTCCCAAACGTATCTTTTTTTAATTTATTTTTTTATACAAATTAGAATGAGAAACAAGCTGACGGTCCACTTGATGGAAAGTGTTAACCGTCGCCTATAGACATGAGCTGTACCATGGACATAACAGAGTATACTGTTTCGCCCATGGGCGAAACAGTATACTCTGTTATGTATCATGATACCCCCATGCGTTGCCATTTCTGAGGATGCAGGTGTTATTCCTCTGTACCCTGTAAATTCACTGCCATATCCCACCCTTCAAACCGAAACACAGCAATGCAAACACAACTGCTTCTCGGTAGAAACACGAATGGAACAGAGGTGTCCAAGCAAACGACTTTTGTACAAAGTCTCCCTCTTGCCTAAACACTAAAGAAAGGGAAAAATTATTAAGCATCAATTTATAAAAATTAACTCATTTTCAATAATTAAACATTTTAATACAACTAGAAGAAACTGTAAGTTTATAATAAAAAAAAAAAAAATAGAAAAATAAATACTTAAGTACTTTGAATTTCGAAGTGACGTCCACCTTTGACACTCGATTTTGCTACCAAACATTTCTAATTTCAAAAAATAAACACTTTTTTACTATTCTCACAATTTCACATTGTTTTTAAGCAGCTATATTTAAAGTTAGGCACAGGAAATGCATGTCAGACAGCCTATTGGACATGCGTACCGAAATGCAATGACAGAGTAATGTCTGTCGGGCGAGACCACGTAAGGGTTAGTGTCACACCAAGGTTGATCCAATTACTGGACACTAATAATACTGACTCGGTTTAGTGGTTTATAGCCTACTTGAGTACCTACCTACGGTTCCACGCGATTAGGGGATGACATGTTATGACGGTAAATAGTAATTGAATAAAATAGTTTTTATGGGCTTAGGACTTTATGTATTTGTAACTTCGTATCATGATTTCAGATGTTTATTGTTCACTTCTAAACATACCTAATAAGGTCTACCTTTTAGATTCCGTACAGGAAAGGTCCTAAACATCCAAATACTCTCTGCAACATATTGTGATTGCTCTACTTAGTAAGAGGTCATATTACACTATTTTTTTTTAATGGATGATAATGAAATGGTATCCCTAATGGTAACGCCTGCGCAATCGGTATATACTGGCGGAGCACCAGTAATAGATAACTGGTGAGGATGAAAGCAGGTCAGTTAGCCCATCCTGACGATTTCAACTAGAACTAGCCACGATCGTTTCCAAGAGGAACCACGTGGAGGTCGACCTGACAGGGTATATTGCTAGTAATGGGGGCTATTTGACCCCATTACTAACGATCCCTTTCCCCCCTATTACACTATATTTGCATGTGTACAGTTGCATTCTAGAACTTTTCTTCTCTATCGATTCTCAGTTTTTGTTCTATAGAGCCTGCTCTTTACCACTTTAGCTTGTTGATCTTTTAAAATCCTACTAATATTATAAAAGCGAAAATTTGTATACGTACCTAATTTATAATATTTATTCAATTAAAGTAATGAGATAAAACTAGACATACTCATAGTACTGCGAAAATGCTTTGCAATTTGTCTGCAGCTCAGCGAGAATAAATAACTAAAATAAGAGAAGGATCAAGTGGATATTTTTTTTTAATGGATGATAATGGAATGGTAACCCCACCCGCGCTATCGATATACACCGGCGGGGAACCAGTGAAGGATGATAGATGAGGATAAAGTAGGTCAGTTAGCCCATCGTGATGAATTCAACAAGAATTGTTCACGATGGTTTCCAGGGGAAACCACGTGTAGGTCGACCTAATAAGGCATATTGCTAGCAATGGGGCTGTCAAACTCCATTACTAACAATCCCTTTCCCCCCGAAGTATATTGATACAGACACGAACAGCCTCATTCCCGGCATTTATTCCCTATTTAGTTAAAATTCCACTAGATCTCCCCTAAAAATCATAGTGACTAATTTCTGGTGAATTCATCACGTTGTCGATTACTCTGGTTCGATCCTCATCTAATACCTTAATAGATAGCGGGCGGGAATGAATTGTTAGTAATGCGAACTACCAGTCCCGTTGCTAGCTATATACCCTCTCAGGTTGGGGGGAAAGGAATTGTTAGTAATGGAGACTGAGAATCCTATTACTAGCAATATACCCAACCAGGTCGACCTCCTCGCGGTTCTCCCTGGAAACTATCATGGTTAATTCCTGATGAATTCATCATGATGGGCTAACTGGCCTGTTTTCATTCTCACCTATCACCCTTCACTGGTGCTCCGCCAACGTATCCCGTTAGCGCAGGCGGGGTTACGTACCATTTTCACACATCAAAAAAACCCTCTCAGGTTGATCTCCACGTGGTCCCACCTAGAAACCAGCGTGCTGAATTTCAGGTGTATTCATCACGATGGACTATGGATTATCATCCATAAAAAAATCATTTAATAGAACTCCGCCAGCGGGGTTATCAATGATTTTTTTAAAATAAGTATGTTTGTAAATAGGTAACTTCCTCACAATGTAACCCATGTCATTGTCAACGTGTCTACTTATCAAATCCAATGTGTATATTGGTGTACCACCTGCTTATTTGAATCCAAATAGTAGCACGCCTAACAAACAAAATGTGTTTATATACCTACCTACTTACACTTTATTAACTATATCGATAATATATTATTATTCTGTAACGTGTCTCGTATCACAATCGGTCGTTAAACCGTTGTATTCTTTGCTAGATTGTATATATAAAACTGTGTAGCGGCCATTTTGTGTCCATTAGAACTTATCTCCCCCATAAAAGGTACTGACTAGTTATAAATAGCACTACCTCTGTAGATAAGTAACTAATTCTTTGTTCGCATGACGTAATCAACATACTCCTCTAAGGATTTTTTTATACGACATAGAATGCCAAACAAGCTGACGGCCCACCTGATCGAAAATGGTAACCGTCGCCTATAGACATGAGCAGTACCATGGACATAACGGAGTATACTGTTTCGCCCATGATACCCCCCATGCATTGCTATTCCTGAGGACTCAGGTGTTATTCCTCTGTACCATGTAAATTCACGCCATATCCCACCCTTCAAATCAAATAACTAATATCTACTGATGATACTTCGTAAATTTATATCATAAAAAAAAATTAATATGTGAAGTAGTTGTGTTTGCATGGCTGTATTTCGGTTGTAGTTCGGTCGGCGTATACCGATAGCGCAGGTGGGGTAACCATTTCATTGTCATCCATTAAAAAAAAAATATAGAAACCGCTAAAAAAGCGGTGCGTTGTTCTCAATACGCCACTCATATACACATAAACGTAACGTCACGTTTCACGTCACGCCTTGGACTTGACTTGACCAAGGTCAGGGCGTTAGAAATTGAATTAGAATAGCAACGTGCCACGCGCGTTAACACAATAACTTGCCAGTAAATGTATATTGTGCCTTAAAAACATATTGGAAAGTAAGTTAATACCTTTATTTTTTCAACCGTGAAGCAGTTGTGTTTGCATGGCAGTGTTTCGGTTTGAAGGGTGGGATATGGCGTGAATTTACAGGGTACAGAGGAATAACATCCGAGTCCTCAGGAATGGCAACGCATGTATGCATGGGGTATCATGGGTATCAGTATACTCTGTTATGTGCATGGTACTGCTCATGTCTATAGGTGACGGTTATCACTTTCCATCAGGTGGGCCGTCAGCTTGTTTGCCATTCTAAGTTGTATAAAAAAAAAGACTTAATGCTACTGATCTTGCAATGTGGTTCCGACATAGAATGGGTCAACCTTTCCTTTCCCGTGGGTGTCGTAAGAGGCGACTAAAGAAATTTAATGGTCAATGGATGGACAGCAGCGTCCCCTAAAGCTTACTGCGGTTGCCAACACGCCTACCAAGTATGGCAACTGCTGGCAAGACCCACCTTATGAGTGCGCCCGCTTGATAAAAGTATTAATTTATATTTTTATTCGAAAAAAAAAAACAGCTTCAATATTGATCATAGACACGCTAACAAACGACGAGATATATCGTCAACATGTTATATTGAAAGCAGATAGATAGATAAACACTATGAGTCATTTATGACGTAAATTAACAAATGAATTCATAAAGTCAAATTAATTACTTTTTTTTTAATATAAAACAAGAGAAAATACCAAACACATATTTGAATATATTAAAAATATAATGTTTGAATTTAGAACGTAAACTTGTGTTAAAATTAGACACCTTCGCTAGTTTACCTATTTTTTTTTTATGGATGAGAATGGATTGGTAACCTCGCCTGGGCCATCAATATACGCAAGCGAGACACCAATGAGAGATGACAAATAAGGATGAAAGCAGGTCCACAAAAGTTAACCATTTTTGTTTGAATCAAATTAAATTTATACTTATATTATATAGATCTGATTTTTGCATGTTTGTTTGCAATGGATAAACTCAAAAACTACTCAATAGAGTTTAAAATTTTTTTCACCTTCAGAAAAATAAATTATCAGCGAGTAATATAGGTTATACATTACTTTCTATCTACTCGTGCGAAGCCGGTTCGGGTCGTTAGTTATTTCTTAAAATTACACATTCTACTCCGGATATTCGACAAAAGTATGTTAGCATCTTTACATTTAATATATCAATATTTTATTATATTTGTATCATAACGTAATAATTGGTCAAGTGCCACTGTTGCTGATTTGATTCAACTTCAAAGCAATAGTTTGACATTTCCGTAATAATTATTTACCCACCGAAATATCCAATAAAAACTAGAAGTAACGACCAACAGTTGACAGTTTTTAATCGAACGCCGACCAGTAAGGACGTGTAAATTGATAAGTTGCTTTAATAAATAGATTTTCAAATTGTAAAATTGTGGATCTGTTAAAACACATCGGTTACATTTTCCTACACACGACACGAGTTTCATTTTATACCCACGACCTATTTAAAAGGAACCGATGGAATGTACTTACTTGACATTGAGCTGCCTCTGTATGAGGAGTTTCTTCTCGATTTGCTCGATGGGGAACTGGGGCACCTCATACGGGGCTGACAGCTCGTTGGGCAGCTCGCGCGGGGCCTCCGCTCCCACCGCGCTCGTGGGGCTCTCGCTGCCTGCACATACATAATACATACACATACAGATATATTTAATCATAGCGAAGATAAATCATGAAATAATGAGAGTTTTATACTTATGGGGTTAGGAACTATTTTTACTTTAGATTGTGGGGACATCAGTTTAAAATCTAGAAATTAGGGTAGTTTTTCTATTCGTGTTTCTACCGTGAAGCAATTGTTTGCATGACTGTGTTTCGGTTTGAAGGGTGGGATATGGCAGTGAATTTACTGGGTACAGAGGAATAACACCCGAGTCCTCAGGAATAGCAAGGCATGGAGGGTATCATGGGTGGAACGGTATATTCTGTTGCGTCCATGGTAACTGCTCATGTCTATAGGCAACGGTTATCATTTTCCATCAAGTGGGCCGTCAGCTTGTTTGCCATTCTAAGTTGCATAAAAAAAGTTTCTAAAATGTCCTTTCCTAAACCTACCACTTAAAATTAAAAATTCTAACTCAGTTATAATCAATAATCTAATTCATATTTGTCCTTGACATAATATTTCGCTATAATTATGAAGCTGGGGGGAAAAAGATTGGAGACTGAGAATCCCATTGCTAGCAATATACCCAACCAGGTCGACCTCCTCGCAGTTCCCATTGGAAACTAACATGGTTAATTCCTGATGAATTCATCATGATGGGCTAACTGGCCTGTTTTCATTCTCATCGATCACCCTTCACTGGTGCTTCGCCAGCGTATCCCGTTAGCGCAGGCGAGGTTACCATACCATTTTCACCCATCAAAAAAAAAACATTCTTAAACTGCAGGTAACTATAAATATGTAAATAAATTAAAAAAAAAAAAAAAACAGAACGCAAATATAATTGAAATCAGGATATGTTTTTTTATGAGTATAAATTTAATATGTTAGATATGCTTAAGACGTTAGATTTGCGTAACTATATTTATTGATAAAAATTTATAATAACTGCTCGGAATTGTACCAAAAATAACTTGTGTAATTTTGTCTGATCAATATTTATTTTATTTATTTATTTTTCTCAAACATGCTTGGAAATGTGAGCATCATTTTGACAATCTATATCTGTCGTGTTTTGCAGCCAGATAAATTACTATGTAAACTCATATCTGTCCTGTGATTTAAAAATGGAATGACCTTTTATTTTGAAACATCTACCAAGGAGATAACTAATACAAGGTTTTATTTAAATTTCGAACTAGCTTGCAAATAAAAAGTTGTTTATTGAAAAAAAAAGACAAAGAAACATTATGGCGCGTGAAAAATTATTATTGTTCGTTATTCGTCATTGAACTTAAAAAGTAAAATTGTGTTTTTGATTTCCGCGCATTGTTTGAGAAAAGTACTATACAAGCCTTGGCCACAACTAGGCACTGATGGACTCATGTATGTGTGCCTCGGCTACGCCTCGGTCCACATTTGTACGTTCGTCCATCAATGCCTCAGTTGCTGGCCGCTGCAGTATTGTACTATTATTTTACACTTTATTGCTCCAAGTAAAAAATATATTTACAGGAAATATTAATGAGAGATCATACATACATATTACAATATTGTTACTTTTTGTGTATTAAAATCTTATATTATGCCACAAAAAGTAAAACTATGAAATTATTATACATATATTTGATAATTACGTGTCCTAGTAACGGGTGCATCCTCCTGGGCCTCCGACGTCCGCCTCACATGCCAAATGTCTTTATCGAAACTGTACATTTTACTCGTAAACAAAATTTATCACCATTACTTCACTCCGGACTGCATAGATGACGTTACCGTATCACAACACACTAGATAATTACCACAGTACAAAGAATTAGTACTATTTTTAATCTATCACATATTTTTATAAAGTGTTCAGTTCAATTTAATTTAACAAATGTCGACAGTAGGTAACTGTATTCGGTATTTTTCTTTTTTTTTTTGTTAATTCATAACTCCATTAGTTGTAAACCGATTTGGAAAATTATTTTTTTTATCTGAAAGGATATAGTTTATAGTTATAGATTGGTTACATAGAAATTTTATCCAAATCGGTTTCAGTGGTTTAGTTTTTAATTGAAAATGACTGGTTTTATCAAAATTGAAGTAGATTTTATTAGGGAACACAATTTATTTATTTCATACGTACATTTTGAATTATTCAATTTATATTTATATATATATATATATATATATATATATATATATATATATATATATATATATATATATATATATATATATATATATATATATATATATATATATATATATATATATATATATATATATATATATATTATACAACTTAGAATGGCAAACAAGCTGACGGCCCACCTGATGGAAAGTGGTAACCGTCGCCTATAGACATGAGCGGTACCATGGACATAACAGAGCATACTGTTTCGCCCATGATACCCCCCATGCGTTGCCATTCCTGAGGACTCAGGTGTTATTCCTCTGTACCCAGTAAATTCACGCCATATCCCACCCTTCAAACCGATAATATTAATAAGTTACCACGTGACACTAGGCAGTTGATATTACTAATTATTTACATTATTTTATTATCTTATATAATTTATCTGTACACGGAATTTTTTTATATATATAATATATAAAACAAACATTGACAATACTAGGTTATTTGTCTAATATTATTATTGTAGTCACTATCAGGTATGTAATAACATTATATATTATCACAGTTTCTATAATCTATTCCGTGTAATTGTAAGTAAATGAAATAGTTTTGTTATTGATGTGTGTCACTGTGGCATATATTGCGTACCTAACTACATCTATTATTAATGTTATAAACAGGAAAGAGTTATTATTAGTATAAACTTTATTTATTTATTCATTAGTACATATATGTGTACATGGCGGACTGAATGCTAAAAGCATTCTCTCCCAGTCAACCATAGGGAAGTGTCAGAATACTCGAATGCGTATACTAGCAGGACCGTAGCTAAACCCAAGTTTAAGGTAGAGCAAAAGAACTTTTTGTTAGGGCAAAAGTATATTTAAATGATTTCGAAATAGCGAATCTGTCTAATATTTTTTGAGGCCTTTCATTTTACTATTTATTGTACTAGTTATTATTGATATACATAGGTACATACTAAAAAATACATATATAAACAAATAAATATATATAAATAACAAATATACTTGCAAATATATAAGATATACTATATTGTACATGAAAATAAAAATAATAGACAGTACTTTCTGCTCGAAAGTATGTAAACGACATTGACCGAAAGATCAGCAAGAAGTGGCAATGATCTGGTCGCATAGCTTAAAGAACCGACAACCTATGGGGAAGAAAGGTTCTTGAGTGACGACTCCACACGGGCAAACGTAGTAGAGGACGACACCCCACTAGATGAAGTGACGACCTCGAATGCATTACAGGGAGTCAATGGATACAGGTGGCTCAGGACTGTTCCTTATGGCTGTCTATGGGGGAAGCCTATGTTCAGCAGTGGAGAAATGATGGCTGAAATGATGATGATAATGATTTAATTTAAATATCAGGTTATAACCAAAATTACAAGTTACACAGACAGACTTATTCCTTGAAATGATTTCTTAAAGATTTCATTGTTTTGTAATGGATAAAAAAACTATGCGACCGGTTTTCAAAATTCTTTCACGTGTATAAACTTACATTATCAGCGAGTAACACGTTGATATTATATTTTCGTCTCGTCTGCCTAAATATTTTATTTTTTTTATTTTATTTTATTTTTTAATAATAATAGACATTTAATTTACTCTAATGATAATTATTTATTTTCGACATACCTATTATATTTTAATACATAAATATTACGCGCAGAATGAATAGGTTATAGTGTTTTTATAAATTTTGCATGCTAGTATTTCGCTGAAACATGTATCTCGAAGTATACACAACTGAACATCTAATGTAACCATGTATATACTGGTCGCCTTTATAAAAAAAAATTAGTATTATTATTAATGCAAATAAAGAATCTGTATCTAAACATAAGAATACATATTAAGTGCGTACGAAGTAGGGCCGTATCGCTAATTCATATATATATAGCACTCCTCCGAAAAGGCTCGACCGATTATAATGATTTTCTTTATATTTGGTAGGTATGACAATAGGTCGTAAAGTAAGAAATTGACAGTTTACCATTAGACGGGCTGTATGCTTGTTTGCATAGAAATAACTTATATGGCAGAACAACGTTTGCCGGGTCAGCTAGTAACTGCAATATAAATAAAATCCGACGGCCTTGGTAATCTAGCGGTTTAGCGCACTACCTCACCTTCCGGTGTTGCTTCGAGCGCCGCACGTTACAAATATTTCTATTTCATGAGTTACTATTTATATTGGTGTCTACTATATTTTACATTTTTCTATACTAATATTATAAAAAGGGGACATTTGATTTTTTCTACGTTTGTTTGTAATAAATACATTCAATAGCTACTCATCCTATTAAAAAAAAACTGTTTCGTTTATAGAAAGCTAGATATTTAGCAAGTTTCAGTAATATTTAATTTTTTAAATTTAAAAAAAAATTTAGATATCCCCCGTATCCTAAAGTATCACTAATTTGACTATGAAAGCTAATATAAAATACCAATTTATCTTTCTGTATATAAATGTACAAAGTCTGGTATGTGTGATACCAGAGGGAGACTTTGTACAAAAGTCGATTGTTTGGGTACCTCTATCCTATTCGTGTTTCAACCGTGAAGCAGTTGTGTTTGCATGGCTGTGTTTCGGTTTGAAGGGTGGGATATGGCGTAAATTTACGGGGTACAGAGGAATAACACCTGAGTCCTCAGATTACTACTCTGGGGAACGCATGGGGGGTATCATGGGCGAAACAGTATACTCTGTTATGTCCACGGTACTGCTCATGTCTATAGGCGACGGTTACCACTTTCAATCAGGTGGGCCGTCAGCTTGTTTGCCATTATAATGTGAAAAAAAAAGAAAAAGAAACACGTGAGAAGCCCGGGCATATCGCTAATAGTTTGTTTGTTTATAACGCTTTATTGTACAATAAAGTCTTAAATTATAGATCACAGAGTTTTTAAGAGAAGAATGAGTACAATGGTGGACTTGGATATCCCAGAAATGTGATCTCTTCCAGTCACCTTTTGAATGCCTGATCGAAATTGTAATATATAAACTGTACTATCAATAAACATTATTTATTTATTTATTTAAACTTTAATGCACAGTGAAACTATGTACCTACATATAGCGGACTTAACATCAGACGGTGTTCTCTACCAGTCAAGCATTGGGCAAACCGAGAAATAAGTAGGCGGTGCATTATTGAATGAAAATAATACTTAAGAAGATATATAAGATTACAAGCAGATCCACAGCACTTACATAGTTAAAATAATAATATTTAATCAATTAAAACTTCGAAACTGAGTTTGAAACGGTACACTAGAACCATCTTTGGTTTCTTGTTAAAATAGGTACAACGATAAAATTACTAGGGTGACCACAGTTTATATATTTATTTTTTTACCATTACCAGAGCGAACACAAAGAACACATTCATATTTATTGATAAACCAATTTTGTTTATATATATAATATTTTTCTAAAACATTTTAATTCTAAATGCCAGTAAAGTGAAATTATTAAAAACTAACCGCAACTCACGACTACAGCCCAATAAATTAGGAATAAAAGTATATTATGTTAATACATAGTTTAGTAGGGGGGAAAGGGATTGTTAGCATTGGAGTTTGACAGCCCCGTTGCTAGAAATATGCCTTATTAGGTCGACCTCCACGTGGTTCCCCCTGGAAACCATCGTGAACAATTCTTGCTGAATTATCGTCGTATATATCGTATATATTTATAAACCTATCGTCCTTTACTGGTGACCCGTCGGTGTATACCGATAGCGCGGGTGGGGTTTCCATTCCATTATCATCCATTAAAAAAATACATAGTTTAGAACATGAACCAAATTTTATTCAAATCCTTTCAAGCATAAGTATAATAATATTTAATATAATATTAGTAGTCTCAAATTCGAATATAAACATTCGATTTTAAGACAGTTTACTTTGTTTTTTTTTTCATTCAACTTAGAATGGCAAACAAGCTGACGACCCACCTGATGGAAAGTGGTAACCGTCGCCTATAGACATGAGCAGTACCATGGACATAACAGAGTATACTGTTTCACCCATGATACCCCCATGCGTTACCATTCCTGAGGACTCAGGTGTTATACCTCCGTACCCTGTAAATTCACGCCATATCCCACCCTTCAAACCGAAACACAGCCATGCAAACACAACTGCTTTTCGGTTGAAACACGAATGGAACCCAAGCAATCGACTTTTGTACAAAGTCTTCCTCTGGTAATGTTATTTGTAATGCCTAATTCAAGACCTAAGAGCATATACAAAATATATTTTGTTAGGACAGTTAATGGAAAAATGTAATATATTTTATTTGGATTTGACAAGCTTACGCTAATGCTGCACGATTATTCGAAAGCTTAAATCAATACCATATACTTTGTACTTTTCCACTAATGACGTCACTATATAATAGAATGTTTGCTTTGTGTATTGGGCCACATCAATCTCTCTTGTATGTACGAATTGTCATAACATCTTCACTGGCAGTGAAATAGCGACCACATTTATATAATTGAAAATTGTATGGAATGGAGTCTATACGAGGATATACCACTGAAATGGAGAGTATACCATTGAAAATTATGTCAATCTGCTTATACTTTATCTGCTTTAAGGTTACTTTATCTTTCTTTTTAGATATATATTCGTCTTTACACATTATAATTTTTTTATGCAACTTAGAATGGCAAACAAGCTAATAGCCTACCTGATGGAAAGTGGTAACCGTCGCCTATAGACATGAGCAGTACCATGCACATAACAGAGTATACTTTTTCGCCGATGATACGCCCCATGCGTTGCCATTCCTGAGAACTCAGGTGTTATCCCTCTTACAGGGTGTAAATTCACTGCCATATCCCATCTTTCAAACCGAAACACGGACATGCAAACATAACTGCTTTACGGTAGAAACACAATTGGGACAGAGGTGTCCAAGCAAACGACTTTTGTACAAAGTCTCCCTCTGTTAAAATAAGTTATTGATCTTCTATTTTCCTACAATAAAGAATTTTGAAAATGAATCCACTAAATCTGTTTTCCTAAAACTAGTATGGAATATATTCAGACAATATGAGCATTAATAAAACGAATAGCAGTAATAGTGAATAATAAAGCTCTATTCGTAATGTTAGCCCTTAAATCAAACAACACGATGGCTTATTAACATTTTACTGTTATGGCGCAATACATTGTCTGACAATGAGGCCGCAATCCAATTGGCTCGCATTTTACGACCGGCTTTCTTTGCAATTAGTTCAAAATTACTTAGAGGTAATGGCAAATTAAATTTCCTTTGCAAAAACCTGATAACAACTGCATATGGAGTGTATTGTTGTAATAAACACGCGCGACAAACCTTATCATCTATATCAGTAATGAATATTAATAGAATTGTTGCTTTCATTATGTGTTTCTCTGATAAATAAAGTATTCTAAAAATATAGTATGTACGTAATATCTAATATATATATTTTTGTTAATCAACGGTATTGGCCATTGCATATGATGTTGCTGCATTTAAGTTATTAATTGTTAAGCATTTAATAATAGTTGTAAGCTATATATATATATATATATATATATATATATATATATATATATATATATATATATATATATTTCTCCGTACTTATTGTTATACATGTATCAATATTTACATTATTTTGTGGAAACAATTGTTGGTAAACCTAAATAAACAAATAAATTTTATAGATTGTTTTTACCTTTTGTATAAAAAACTGATTCAACAGAATGTAATATACCTAGTTACCTATAGAAATAGTCCGTTATAAGTGTTAGATTTATGGGTATTTTTGATTGAATAAGTTAGCCGATAGAATTATAAATTCAATTATAAGCAGAAATCTTATTTTGCAAGAAAATATAATAATAAAATTTGATATCAAGACAAAACAAACAATATTCAGAGACAAAGCGGATCGTCAGATACTCGAATTTAAATAATTATGATATTAAAGTAAGAAGTAAGGACGTCCAGGAAGTGTGAATGTAGTATTTCAAAATTGTATGAAAAATATTAGCATACAAGTACTTACTTCGCAATGAAACGTTTTTGAAAAACTAGCTTCTAACACACAATTTCCATAATCATCATGACATTAGGCAACTTTCTCTAAATGCTCTCATGTTTAAAATATCTTCTTCATAAACCTAAATGAGTCAATCAAAATATTAAGCAACCAACCACTCACGAGCTCCAAGCTCCAAGATCAAGGGGTCATGATAAGAAATTGATGCCCGAGAACGTTCACAGACCTCTTTTTCTTATCAAAACCTACTGCTCGAGCTTGGACCTCTGAATACTTGGATTGCATCATAAAAATGTATCTTCATAGACCGTTAGAATCACTTGTAAGATAAACTGGTTTATTATAGAAGTGATAACAATATCGAGACATAACAAGTCCATGGCGACAAGGAAAAATCAGATATTCAGCTAACGTCGAAAACTATTTTTGATTTTTTTTTTTATATTTATTAATATTATTTTTATTATTATGAGATGGTTAATAATATTTATGTATTTCGGTATATATGCTCATAAATTCTAATTTTATTTTATTAATTTATTTATACGTTAATTTATTTGAATTCCATATTGCCACATTGGCCACGGCGGTGACGTATAAACCTATTCCGGAATCGAACGAGGAAAATCATAACAACTCCCAATTTAAACAATATGCTCAGCCCAGATCCGTAAATTCCGTAATGCAATTGAATTGACAATATGGGATCGAGCGACACACATACACCAACTTAAAACCACTGGTAGGTATGTTTTTATAAAAACATATTTATTTTAAACACTAATAACTAAATTGACCAGCAGCTTTCATTGAGTTAGCTACCAATATATGCCACAGTATAGTTTGAAATTTGAAAATCGAATACTTCAAGAATGCCACGAGTAAAGTTTGACGCGACGCGATATCAGCGGCCGTCGATTGTTGCACGGCCAACTGTCGACCCTGTCGACTCGCGACTGGAGAATCTAGTGGAGGACTGGAAGTCTCCGTCCGTAGTCGGCAACTCGGCTATGGTCTCTCCGACACGACCCAATTGTAAACAAAATATACATTGTATCGGTTTTAACTTCAGTATCGGTGTGCCTCTTACGTAAATACGCTAAGTGACTTGTTTTGATTTTGGAGCTATAAGAAGCGAAGAGGGAAGGTAGTTCTTAATTAAAATGAGTAAATGAAGTAATATCATTTAAAATACGTAGCATAGCATACATAGTTCGTAATAGAAGTAGAATCGATTTCAACTTTATTGATAATTATCATTTTTCTAAACACGACGATATACTCTGTTATGTGCATGGTACTGCTCATGTCTATAGGCGACGGTTACCACTTTACATCAGGTGGGCCGTCAGCTTGTTTGCCATGCTAAGTTGTATAAAAAAAACCTTCTTTTCTTGGTGCGCTCGTTTCTTTAGGTTTTCACTGCTTAGATAGTATCTAAGCTATACTAGTCACGCGAGTTGACACTGTCTTTTCTTGCACTCACCAAAATTTGCATCAAAATTTAAAAACATTATTTATATGTATATTGTATACCTAAATCCCAAAAGAAATGGTGACACGTAGTATTGTTTCTCAATCATAATATGGTGAGACCTAAAATTCCTAATTATTATAAAAAGCGAATAAGTATATACAATACACAACGACAGACACATTTCAGATACCTAACTCTAGAAATGAGTACAATTACGAGTACATTACATATATAGGAAGGACATATCCAATTCAAAAAAATTAAAATTAAAACTGATGTCTTTTTGTAACAAAGTCTACCTCACTATTCTCAGTAAACTACTAAATAGTTGCTATATTCAATAAATAAAAAAAAAAACATTCTCACAGCTTTAATCCCATATGAACTATATATACATTTTTGTTTATAAATAGTAATATTCGTATTATAAAAAAGATCTAATGTATTTTTTTTTTGCTATAATAATTAACTCTCTATTGCGCACAATAGAAATATATACAAGTAGTGTGCATATATAAAATACACAAAAGGCGACCTTATCGCCAAAAGCAATCTCTTACGGACAAACCTAATAATTATTAACATTTAACAAGAATACAATAAGAGAACCTCACGAACAAATGATGAATCCCTTTGACGTACGACAGATCATATATTTGACAAATCTGATGATGTATCTAAAGAGTAAACATTTTTTTTTAACCATTTGTTAAGTCAGCAGTCAGTTTTCAAATTGTGAAGAATATAAGACGACATGTTCCTATTAGATCTATTGTAACGTGCCAATATATTTTTTTTATTAATATTATTAGTTTCTAAATTTACTTTTTAATAAATCATTTATCTTATAATTCAAAGAATCATGCCATCAATGCCATCAAATTTAATCAAAATGACTATTTCTGTAGCCTAGTTTACCGCATATCACATAAATATATTAAGTCTGCGTAATAAGTCAATCTGTGAAGTTAATCTTATTGCATTTAGTTTGTTCTTCTAAATATCATACTGTCAATATCTAGAAATATCAAGCTATTATTAAAACCCCTCGAGCACTCGTATTTCTGCCGTGGTATGTGAAAAAAGTTGGCTAAAGCACTAATACACCGCATTTTGTTGAATTTTTTATTTCTTATTTCACTATGGTCTTGTAAACTGTTATTTATGTCTCGTCTGTATATTTATTACATTAAGGTTAAAGTTAGATAACAGAAAATGTTCGTAAAACAGTACAAGAAATATTAGGCATCGAGAGACCTTAGATGCACTCGAAGGAATATAAATGTAACATTTATCAAAATATTAAAAAGATTAAAGTATCTTTTAACTTGTAACCAATTTACTTATTTATTTATTGCACATAAAAAGAACATAACAAATACTTAAAATTGACTAAATCTAAAAGACTTTTGTACAACTAAACCGTCTAGCGACAAAGGGACAGTGTCATAATATATTTTGTTCATGGCGTAGTAAAAATAATCGGTAATTTACTAAGAATTCGAGAGCAATTTAGAATCTTCAATCTATAAAAGCGTTATAAATTATTACAATAAATGTGTCTCGAACAAAAAATAAATCACTGTCACTCTATCGTTTGCACAATCATAGAGTAGAACACATTTTATAATTTCGAAAGAGTCGTCACTCCTTCGATAGCTCAGTTGGTAGAGCGGTGGACTGTAGAGATAAATAATTGGAATCCATAGGTCGCTGGTTCAACTCCGGCTCGACGGAATTCTTTTATTTTTTATTTTTATAATTGTAAATAAAGAAACAAATAAAGCAAGAAGTAGATTTTACAAATAAAAAACGAAAAATATATCATGGAAACAATGTCAAACAGGTCATGAAACATTTCAATTCCAATATCGATCTATTGAAATGAATTTCAAAAGAGACCCCACTGGTCAAAGCGTCGAGATAAATTGCATAAACTATCACAGTTTACGTAAATGAATAATAATAATAATAATAATAAATAGATTTATTTTCTCTTCACAATTCATCACAGTGAGATACAATGAGACATGCTTGTATTAAAGTAATCAAATTATAAATATAATTGTGAGAGACTGGTGAAAAAAAAGGCTCGACTCCGTAAGAGAGAAAACTGTTAGTAATGGAGATTTAGAAGCCCTATTGCTAGCAATATACCTTATCAGGTTGAACACCACATGGAAACCATCGTGATTTTTTTATGGATAATTATAGCATGGTAACCCCGCCCGCGCTAACGGTATACACTGGCGGGGCACCAGTGAGGAATAATAAGTGAGAATCAAAAGGCAGATCAGTGTGCCCATGGTGATGAATAAACCTGGAATTCAACACGATGGTTTCCAGTGGGACCACGTGAAGCTCGACCTGACAGTATATTGCTAGCAGTGGGTCACGTAATCTGCATGCTAACAATCCCCCCCCCCCACCATTGTGATCAGTTCTTGTTGAATTCATCACAATGAATGACCAAGACCAACTGACCTGCTTTCATCCTCACCTATAATAATAATAATATAATAATAATTTTTAATAAAGGCATCCAAATTAAATTTAAAATTAAATTTTTACATTTATAAATAAATAACATTAAATTAACCTACTTTTTTTGTATGTTAGCCAGTATATGAATCATTCTGCAACGATTCAAATACTGGCAGTCTGGACGTGCCCCAAATACCCTCAAGATAACGTTAGAGCTGTCCCGGACCCTACGCATCAGAGATGTGCACCGCTTTCGCATAGTAGCGTAGAAACAATCAACACGCGCCTCGGCGAACATTCCCCACGCACTAGAAAACCGGGACAGCCCCAACAGCACCCTAAACGCATTATTATACTGGACTCGACTTGACTAGTGCTCTGCCAGCATATACCAATAGCGCAGGCGGGGTCACTGTATCATTTTCACCCATTATAAAAAAAAATACGAATTCGTGTAATTCCAATCCATGTAACTATTATATCCTACGTTACAAAAGCATGTACAACCAATGCAAGCAAAGCCAAAGGCAAATAGAAACTATACAAAAAAGTTGCGATCATTTCTTACCTCCGTCATCAAAAAAGGAATCCATTATAATTCTCGGAGACCTCGAGCCATCTTGCACGCCCCTTGACGACATTTTTAATCACTCACTTCTCTAATTTTATTATATTGTTCACCAAATATTTTTTTTAAATCACTTTATATATTGCACCAATGCTAAGTAATCCGAGTTCCCTTTGCCTTCACTAAAAGGAGACAGTTGTGATTTTGGATCGTGTGTACGATAAGCAACTTTTAAGGGAATGCTCTTCTGTGATTTTGGAGCGATATTTGATTTTTATGAACCTACTGTTCAATCAGTAGCCAGCAAACGTTGTTTATTTTTTCATAAATGAATCTGGAATCCCGTCTGCGTTACCGGTGTTCAAAATTAACCTTTTTTTACATATACTGACAATTATAGTTTGACAATACATCAAGTCAACAGACGGCAATTTTATTTACAATTAATATAATATAATTATTATAAATAATAGTATATACATAAAAGAACCAGCATATTTTACAAACAACCGGCATACGCTAGCAGAGTCACCAATGAGAGATGATAGGTGAGGACGAAAGCAGGTCAGTTGGCCCATCGTGATTAATTTTACAAAAATTAACCACGACAGTTTCCAATAAGGACCGCGTGGAGGTCGACTAGACAGGGTATATTGTTAGCAATTGGGACCACCTCATCATTACTGATAATCCCTCTCCCCCAGCAAAAGTTGTGTTACCTCTTATATGTGAAGTTGGAACAAACAAAACTTATTTTATTTATAATAATTTCAGTATAATCAATTTAGCAATTTCGGAAATCAATGTGAATGAACACCGTGACAAACAATTTTTATATATTAAAGTTAATAATTCACATATTAATATTACTACTTATTTTAGAATTATTATTTCCCCCTTTATCAATCAATCAACTACTTGATGGATATAAATTTATAAGTATGTTACCATGCCATACCTATAATCTAAGGCCATACCATATTAGCCATTGACTGTCCAACTGTCCCTATTGGCGGGTTTTGTAAGTAACTACACTTGACAGCAAGCAGGTTAGCAACCGCAGTTAGACTGGATAAGGATGGACAATAGTAAAAAATGTTAGTCTGCATATATTTTACCCGATATAGGACAAATTATTTCAACAATATCTAATCTACCAGACGGAGACTTTGTACAAAAGTCGATTGCTTGGGTACCTCTATCCTATTCGTGTTTCTACCGTGAAACAGTTGTGTTTGCATGGCTGTGTTTCGGTTTGAAGGGATATGGCGTGAATTTACTGGGTACAGAGGAATAACACCTGAGTCCTTAGGAATGGCAACGCATGGGGGGTATCATGGGCGAAACAGTATACTCTGTTATGTCCATGGTACTGCTCATGTCTATAGGCGACGGTTACCACTTTCCATCAGGTGGGCCGTCAGCTTGTTTGCCATTCTAAGTTGTATAA